CATTAACAGGCGCAGTAGTTTGTTAATGTATGTTTTAGTTTAAACCAGCTTAAGTTTTTGCGTGTTTTGACAAATAAGAGAGAAGCAACATTGTTTTATTTGCATGTAAGAGTGAAACGGAATACCAGTATTGATTTGAATGGTCAATTTTGACAATTCCACATTTCGAGGACGAAATATATTCTTGGGGAGGGGCAGTGTTGTAAATGTGTGCACTGGTGATTCCCAAGTAATGAAATACTGTTACTTCTGTATTCTGAGATTTTGTATAATTTATCAGAGGTTATATTCTTAGTTTTGAGAATATTCTAATGAGCCATTAGCGTACGTTTTACTTCAAGTTATAAGCTGTATCGATAACACCAAATATGGCGCAACTTTGTCATGTGTTGTTCAAAACGTTACAGTTGGGTCAATATTCTTAGCGTGAACCCAAACGTGTACACTTATGAGTTCTTAACTGAAAGAATTGATATGTCTAGATTGGTTTAGTCACGATAATTTAATGTTATAAGCATTTTGAGTCGAGGACTCCTATATTTTCTGTCACGTTTGACGTTATGTTTTTCTTGCTGCTTAGAATGTTTACATACCATACAAATATCGTTTGGCATTTCCCTATCCTAGTTAAAAACACATGTTATATTTATATTTAGATCAGCTCCGCCTATTTATGCAAATTCACTTGGCAACTTAAAATAGAAGAATATCTTTTGAATACTTCGGAAATTACATGTTACATTATTCCGATAGTTTATTCTGTACATTGTTTCATTGTACCGTAATAAATATATTATTTTCTACAACAAATTATTCATTTACGCTACCAATATTTACCGTAGAGAACGTAGGCCTGATAAAGGACAGGCAACACTATAGTTAACTTATTATTCATTGTAGTTACATTTTTGAGAGTATCCGTCGTATATATTTGCTGATAACTAGACAAACATAACAAGAAGCGGAAATTACGATATCTTCTCTCAACTATAAAATAGTTAAGTAGAGAAATAAATCTGTCATCAACTACTGATCAGGGAACAGATAGTATTACTTTTAATATCAAATTGTTGATAATCACTCAAGTACAGAAATGACGAAGTAAATGGTAAGTATATTTTTTTTTAATTTTTACATCTACACATGAACTTATCAAATATTAAAAAGAAGATGCAATGATTTAAAAATACTATAGTTTTGAATAAGTCATAATTTTTGATAGGTGCTGCAGTTGCATTTTATAGATTAGCACTGGAAATTGAGATCATCATGATCATTGAATGTCAAAGATATACTGATACGATATATATTTAACTGGCAATTGAATATTTTACTTCATTGGCATGACATGATATTGTAATAAGAATTGATTTGGGTATTTAGATATTTTAATTCTTAACTATCTTATTTGACAAAATGACCCATTTTCAATATGAACAAAAGATAAAAAATGGTTCTTGAAACTACAGAAAAAATAAAAGCTAAAATGATGAAGAAGTTTTTTTTTGTTGAAAATATCACGGAAGTATTAGAATTTTTTTTAATAATTGTGGTAAAGTACAACAGCTTAATAAAGTTCATTACAGATACATAAAGTTCAGGTTAATAAAATACTTTGAGAGCTCAACCCCACTCTCTAATTGATTGATTGATTGATTGATTGATTGATTGATATTTGCTTGCATAATGTTCAGTGGCAATTACTTACCCTTTCGAGACAGCAGTACAGTAATCAAAAAGCAATACACACTCATGCTTTCATAAAATAGTAAATTTCCGTAATTCTGTTCATGATTTTTATCTGTTTTGTACGACAGAAAAATATCCGTTTACTCTAGCTATTTAACGAATGTACAATGACAAAAATATACCGTATTAAAATGCACACTTTTCATTATACATAGTAGTGTACATTCTAAAATTGAACCTCAATTTCCTCTTTTATCAAGGAACAGGATTATAACAAGATTTCAAAAATGAAAGATTTTTACCAGTTTAAAGAAGAAGGAACAGATCAACTTTTAGTTTATTTTGAAGACTTTTATGAATTTATAAGGAAAAGACAAACACCTGATGATAAAAAACTGCAAAAACATAATGTCTTAAGGGAAATTAAATGTCACACAGAGTAAATCAAAGACCTTACTCATGGCAAATCAGTGACAACAACATCAGTATCTAAGTTTATTTTTAATCATTTTGATGACCACAAGGTATGCCATGAAATTGGCACTGATATAAGCAACTGCTTCTTTTCCGAGAAAACAAAGACTAACACCAAATCACTGCTAGATTTGTACAAGTCTGTTGGTGAATTTGATCTCAACTGTTTTAATGATCCAGAACTTAGAGATGTGAATGTTCCTACACTAGCAATTAATTACCGATCCCTATTTATTGATCAAGAATGGGATAAAATTTTATTGTTTGGAATCCATTATTGTAATCACAGTTTAACGGAAATGGGAATTGCTGGATTATCTTAAGGTAGCATATAGTATAAGTAAAACATGGACAAACAACACACAAGCTACAATAAAGCGTACAATTAGCAGACAGAAAGCATTTGAAATTTCACAGAATATAGAGGTGCATGGAAGGCAAAGTCATTTTCCAGTTATAATTGAATCTCAGCTGATGAGAAACTTGAATTACTGCGGCCAGATTGTGTAATAAATGTAGCGTGTGTAGACACATCATTGTCCAAACGGTCAAATGCATTAACAATTATACTATCATGCATAGAAGATATTGAACCAAAAGATATTCATAATCATGTTTCTCGATTCCTAAACAAAAGACACAATGCCAATGTTAGTAAAATTGTGTTTCTTTCACAAGACTCTTTGCCAAATTATACACCAGAAAACAATGACACAGTACGTTTTCAATTGAGAAATGATATTTTCATGGGAAAGCTTACAGAATCTGTTCTTTACATTGAGACACCAGTACAAGTAAGTGGATATTAAAGAAACAAAAGCCTACAAATGCAATGTGTGCCACACAACTTCCCTTCCAAAACCACTTAGTATTAAGGTTTTTTCCATTGTGCAAGAGTGGTATCTTGATGTTCCTTTAGATGTTCAAATTCTATTTAAAACCTTCATCAATAAAATATCCATTCGAAAATCAAAACACAATGATGGTTTATTGACAACGAAATTAAATAGATTGTACGGGCTGTATGATACAATGCTGAATACTGTTAACAGGAATTATATTGGCATTTTACAACCGGCCAACGCTGACGAGCTGGCAATGCATTTTAAAAGTGTCACTTCTGTACCTCTTCTATTACAAACAGTACAGGTATATCTACCAGTCTGATTCAAGCAGAGCAAAAAATCAAGGAAAGAACAGTAGGTGACTTATGCTATAACAACACATGTTTGAAGCGTTATCCACTAAGATATGAGACAAGGGAGGTTGAACTTGAAAATTTAGTCAGTTTGCAGGGGTGTCATCTGATATTGATGATGGATAATTTAGTAAGACTGATAACCTATTCCGACCCAAACCCGGATGAAAACAGGACAGGACAAGTTTGTACCCTGCCACTTACTCTTCAATGTCTTCCAAAAGACAATGTTATAAATGACAAATGGCACCTTGAAAATTGCAACCAAACAGACAAATGTCTCTGCAAGTATACAACCACACTGACAAAGAATGACTTTGACTTATCACTTGTATCATTAATACCAGACGAAAAAGAAGTGTGAGATAGGTTTAGTCAAGTCCTTACATGGGGCAATCTTTCACTATGAAAAGAATTAAGGAAAGTGAGTATATGTTTAACAGATTTACAAATGAATAAGAAATGAACAGATTCAACAGAATATGTTTTCATCTCTTTTAATTTTCTTACATATCTAATGATAACATGATGACAATGGAATTATTTTCTTTTCTATTTTGCATATATTTTCCTTTTAATCCTCTTCAAAACAGACAACAAATGCAATGTAGAAAGACCATCAGTAGCTAATGTGTTGCAACATTGTTGCAAATATACATAAAAATAGTTGAAATACACAACTAGATTTGTAAATGCTAGCAATAACGGATGGCATCCTCGTTCAAAAATTGCCAAGAAAACTGCAGTCATTTGGAGTTTCCAAAGTCAAAAAGGGCATCTACACATGCCAATAAACATTATTGTAAAGTTTCATTAAGTTGAGCATTTTGAAATTTTTGACATTTTTGCTGTTTCCATAGTAACGGCGGCCATTTTGGAAATTCCAAAGTCAAATGGGACATCTGCATATGCCATTCAATATTTGTGTGAAGTTTAATTTACTTTGGTGCATATTGATTTCTTGAACATTATTGCGGTTTCCATGGTAATGGCGGCCATCTTGAAAAGTGCCATACCCCGATTGCAAATTTGCACATGCTGGTTAACATTATGGTATAGTTTCATTAACATTGGTTCAAAAAATTTCAAGATATAAGCTGGACAAAAAAAGTGGAAGAAAAAGAAAAAAACAGAAAAAAAAGAAACGTAGAATAACAATTGCAATATGTAACCCAAAATCCGTTGAGGGTGCCATAATTAATATGAGAATAATCTAATCTATAAAAACAACAACAACAGGAAAACAAAACAGGAAAAGAGGCAATCAAAAATTATAAGGAGAAAAACATAAACAACATCAAGACTAGGCGGAAAACAAAGTACCAAAGAACAAATTAAAGTTAACAAAAAAACAAAACCCACTTAAAAGGAATTATAAATTAGATATTCTTAGAACGTAAGCAATGTCTCCTCCTCAAATGCCTTCCAGCTTTGTTTTGCTGTCATACTTGTATTAAAATCTGATAATAAGTTATACTAAATGATAGGTGATGAAAGACAATTAGAATAACAATAGATATAGAGTGTTCGTTATAAGTGTTGATATATTTTCTTTTAGCATATTTGATTGATATTGCACCCAACAAGTATGATGACAGAAGGGGAAGAAATAGAAGGAGACTATGAAGAAAATGAAGATAACTTATCAGATCTGGTAACATTTTATATTCTAGCATGCCTACTAAGGTGTAGAGGCACTATTTAAGAGACCTTGCTTGACAGCATACCTGCAAGGAAAACTATATTACCTTTTACTTGCAGTACCTTCTTTTCAATTAAAATTTAGAACCATGAAAAACTAAATCAAAGGAAACCTGAAAATATGTACATGTACACATGATTTTAGCTCCCCCTAAAATACAACAGAATTTTTGCAATTTCTTGAGTTCTCAGAACGTATAATCTGTAAAAATAAAGCTTATGTCGGTCAGGGGACCTGTTCAAACATTTTTCATTTAGTTATATATGAGCTCACTATGGTTGATAGGAACTAGAACTGTCTTTCGGGAACATGTCTTTGGACAAACAAACTTCGAAAAGCAACGACAGCCCCATCTCAACTGATGAATCAAATATTTTAAATTTGTTTGGGTTCAAGAAATTTGAAGTGCCTCCTTTCTTGTGCCGACATATACCATCCGCAACTGGCAGAAATGACGACATTTGTAAATTGAAAGAGATTATAGACTACATCATTGTAACGACAGGACGTATAAATGTTCCACATGAAGAAGTTCACAGAATACTGTTTGGCCTAGACAACAAAATAGGCGCACATCTACTAGAAATTGTTGAAGATCAAAAATACAACCATTTCTTACCAGAATTTCCTCTCCTCCATTTGAGTAAAAAAAAAACACCCTTTTAAGTTCATACAAATACACAGGACTTCTTCAACTACTGATGTACATGTGTGATGAAGAGAAAAGGGAATGGCCAAAATTAATAACCATGGATCAAATAGATTTTGCAACGAAATATGTCCGCCGACTGTCATTGTCTTTTCACATATCATTTATCTGCAGATTTCTATAATGCTTAACGCAGGAGGAAGCGCTGGCTGTCATAGATATGCTAGAAGAAGGGAAAATTGAAGAAATTTCTCGTCTATGGAGTAGTAAGTTTCAGGATTTTATGAATACTTGGATAACTCAAAATTGCACATTTGCTCTACATGCAGGCATGATGCAACACTGTGATGAAGTTGTTGCTGTCTACCTTTCAGAACGATTGGGTGGACATACAGGCTACAATTTACTTCTTGGAGCTGTAAAAAGATCCCTTCCCTTCTCATTTCTGAATAGTGCAACTTCTTATGGCCCATATTGTGCTCAGTTACTTCTTCAACATTACAGTGCAGGACATTTCCATCAATGTCTCAAAAAAGCACTTTACTCAACACCTATCATGCCTATCGGGAACAGTGTTGTAAATTTTGCATGTGATTCTAAAAGAGAAATAGATCATCAAGATGCCATCCGAGGATTCTGATCAGGATCATCAATGACATCAGTTATAGGTCGTATGTCACTAGTACATTATTTCAATGAAACTCATCAAATAAGATCAAAGATTCACCAAAGATGAAGAACTTGATCTTCCATCACTGTATTGGATACCTAAACTACATAGGTGTCCTTACAAACAACGGTATATTGCTGGGTCTTCCAAGTGCTCCACGAAACCTCTTTCTAAATTATTAACATCTATTTTATCAGCAATCAAAGCCAGGCTTCAAAGTTATTGTGAAACTGCCTATTCTTGAGGTGGCGTGAATCAGATTTGGATACTCAAAAAATCCAAAGATCTTTTAGTGTACATACAATCTAAGACTCTCTCATCTTGCAATAGTATTAAAACATTTGACTTTTCTACACTTTACACAAGTATTCCCCATTCCAAACTAAAAGACAAATTGGTAATGCTTTGTTTCATAAAACAGAATTGCGAACGTAGATACAAGTATCTTGTCTTGGGGAGGGAAAAATCCTACTTTGTAAAGAATCACACTGATTCAAACAAAAAATTCTCTGAAACTGACATTATCAAGATGCTTGATTTCTTGATTAACAACATATTTGATACGTTTAGAGGACGTGTTTTTCAACAGACTGTCGGCATTCCAAAGGGAACCAATTGTGCCCTCTTCTTGCCGACTTGTGTCTTTATTATTATGAGATTGACTTCATACAGGAACTTCTTAGGAAGAAAGATAAGAAGTTAGCAATATCCTTTAACTTTACTTTCCGCAATATAGATGATGTTCTCTCACTAAATAATTCAAAATATGGTGACTATGTTGAACGCATCTATCCCATCGAACTAGATATAAAGGATACAACAGATACAGTTAAGTCTGCCTCATATCTAGACATCTAGAAATTGACAATGAGGGTCGGTTGAAAACAAAAACTTTACGACACAAGAGATGATTTCAGCTTCCCAGTTGTGAACTTTCCATTTCTATGTAGCAACATTCCAGCAGCGCCTTTATACGGGGTATATATCTCCTAATTGATACGATATTCCCGGGCTTGTATTTCCTATCATGATTTCCTTGATAGAGGGTTGCTGCTCACAAGGAAGCTATTACACCAAGATTTCAAAATGGTGAAGTTGAAATCATCCCTTCGTAAATTTTACGGACGCCATCACGAGTTGGTTGACCGTTATGGAATAACCGTTTCACAGATGATATCGGATATGTTCCTCATGTCGTAATTACAATCCACTTCCTTTTTCACTACGAATGTGACCTACCGAATTAGACTATTTACCGGATTTGTAATAACATGAGAAACACGACGGGTGCCAGATGTGGAGCAGGATCTGCTTACCCTTTAGGAGCATCTGAGATCACCCCCAGATTTTGGTGGGGTTCATGTTGTTTAGTCTTTAGTTTTCTATGTTGTGTCTTGTGTACTATTATTTGTCTGTTTGTCTTTTTATTTTTTAGCCATGGTGTTGTCAGTTTATTTTCGATCTATGAGTTTGACTGTCCCTCTGGTATCTTTCGCCCCTCTTTCATACAAACTCCAAAGAAGACTCAAATGTTGACTGGGCATTATCAGAAACCGACCTGCATCATATTATTCCAACAGTTGCTCTAATTCTTCGATGCAATGGTTTATGTTTGGAATAAAATAATTATCCAGAAAATGTTTACAGTTCATATAAACTTATTCTCTCACCGTATGTATTATATAATACAACATCAGATATCGGATAATACCTGATAAAACGCTATCTAGCAAACAATAGCTTCCTAGGAATAACTATGGATAACATACTTGAACTAAATGAAACTAGTGGACGGGCCTCTTTTGTCCGAAGAGTAAAACGTTCAAAAGGAGTCACAATCAAAAGAACTGCCGAAAAAGTGACATTTCAAACCAAGACTGAACGTCAGGTGAAGGAGAAAAATAGAAAAGCATTACTAAAAAGAGAAATGCAGAGGGCAAGTTTTCTTAGTTCTGAAATGAAAATGTGCCAAGCATTGCTTAAACCAGACTGTACAAAGCCAAAGGTTATGAAATCCAAAGGAATGCAGCAAGCAATAGAGAATTTATTGCAGGAATTAAAATGCCAACAAAATCGTATTTTGCTAAATCTTCAATCTGTACCAAAACATATCACTGACACAGTGGAACTTGCGACAATAGAATTCGCTGATGTTAAATTTCAAACAAAGGGTACCTCAGGGACACAGCATATAAAGTATGTTCAAAATGCAGTTATAAAACCAAACCTTTCGACAATTCCCAGCAGCAGAATGAATTATACTTTGTGAAGACAAATATTCCTTTACGCCTGATACCTTAAAGGCAGCTACACACCAACAGAGAACTTTAAAAGCAAAAACAGCCATTGCTCATCTGAGAACATCTCATGACATGATAAATCAGGACCAATTTCGAAAAGAAGATATCGTGAATACCAGAGAAGGAAAGACCATCATGAGTACTTATTTGACTGCTAATGCGAATCAACTTGAAATTGGGGCTGATTTTCTGCTCGATATTGACAGTGAATTAAATATGAATATAAAAAAGAAGATGTGGTATGATTGCCAATGAGACAACTCTCCACAAGAGACCAAATGACACAGAAATTAACAAATATAGGTCACCATACGGCCTTCTACAATGAGCAAAGCCCATACTGCACAGTCAGCTATAAAAGGTCCCGAAATGGCAATGTAAAACAATTCAAACGAGAAAACTAACGGCCTAATTTATGTACAAAAATGAACGAAAAACAAGTATGTAACACATAAACAAACGACAACCACTGAATTACAGGCTCCTGACTTGTGACAGGCGCATACATACAGAATGTGGCGGGGTTAAACCTGTTATTGGGATCTCAACCCTCCCCCTAACCTGGGACAGTGGTGTAACAGTACAACAAGAACGAACTGTACAAATCAGTTGAAAGAGGCTTAACTCATAAGATGGATAAACATACAAATACTACAATTGCAATTGAAGGTGGTTCCATGAGAACAAAGTGTAGAATGCAAATGTCAAAACTATACTATTCCAATGCGTTGCTCATTTAAGAAAACTTGTCTTAAGCCAATTATACAAAATCTAAATGATATACACCAAAGGAAAGTTTGACTGGTTGTGTATGAGCAAAACAGGGCTGTACCTTGTATACAGCAGGTATTTGAACAGGTATTCGAAGAGTGGACAGTTGTGGTTGCCTCCTGAATCAGGCATTGAAAGGATTGCAGATATCATCAACCTGCAAATTGAGTATCTATCAACGGCAGAAAACCCTATGGATTTATTACCAAACTTCCTAGGAATAGACTGTCTACGCAAGAACGAAGACAATGAGGTGGAATATTACTTTGGCCCTGATAGTAAATGGAATATTAGTGAAATAATTGGACAAAAGCAGCGTATGGAAGACACTCCACAAAAAGGAAGAAGAAAAAAGAGAATGACCATATCTACGCCTGTCAAATCTAAGTAGAAAGTTCTTTGGACTAGATGAAAATTGGACCTTTCCTGAATAGTTCTAATAAAATATGTTTATTTACATAGTAATATGTCATACCGTATATTTACTTTAAGTTGCCATTATATACTTTTATGATAATTGCTTTTTTTTTAATTTAGTAGATCTACCTATGAGAATAAAACT